AAGTTTTGATATATTTACAGTAGGAAATTTACAAAATATCTTCATGGAACATGATCTTTACTTAATATTCTAATGATTTTTGGCATAAAAGAAAAATCTATAATTTTGACCCATACAATGTTTTTTTGGCTATTTCTAAAAATATACCCCAGCGACTTAAGACTGGTTTTGTGCTCCAGGGTCACATATGGGATTTCCGTACAACTACACTTATTGGTCACCATTTCTTCACGTGCTCCTAAGTGCATTCGCATCAAGATCATCACACAAAGCGTGCTATTTTAAAAACCACTTAAAACTGTTTTATATGGGATCGCAGACCTTTCATAAGTTGTCATTTTTATTTGATTATTGCTCATAAAAAATTTATACTTTTGTGAAGTCACACAGTTATTCTGTTGCTAACAATATGTGTTCTTAAAAAATGGCTTTTAAAAATGTCTAGCTTCTAAAGCCACTGAGTGTGTGATTTTTTTATGTACATGTGGTTTCAGTTGGTGCTTAATTGTAGAACAAATGTAGAATTTCAATTGAATTTTAATGCAAACTTAATGACAAATCATTAAGCGTCGTACACAGATTTTACACACAAATATATGCATATGTGTGGTTAGTAAATTATAGTAAATCAGATTATTAATACAAGAGAACTTTCTGATACATGTTTTCTACTCTTTTGTGTGTCACTTGGTTGAACTAAGAAAATTATTCATCCTTTTATAAAGTCACATCGTTATTACATTGCCATGTGTTTTTAAAAAATGGTTTATTATAATTTCTAGTTTCTGAGGCCAAAGAATGTTTTTTGTTTTTTTTGCATGTGGTTTCAGTTTCAAATTTTAGAGCAAATTTGAATGAAATTTGAATGCAAACTTAATGGCAAATCATTTAGATTCATACACAGATTTTATGCACAAATATGTGTATGTATGATTATAGTGAATGCATCCCATTGATTGCAAATTCATAGCCTGATACACATTTTTGTAGGAACTCCTTTCCAAGTTTGTGTGTCAATTGGCATCAAATCAGCACAAACTCTTAGTGTGCCAAGGAAATAGGAAATTCTGGATGTGACATCATCACAGATTGGTTTCCTATGAGGGCCAGGGATGTGGTGAAATGGAAGGAAGTGAGTGGGATGAATTGGCAAATGCCTGATCAAGGCAAACGTAACCGCTGAGATTTGTTTGATTGTCATGTCTGTTATGTAACAAGCCTGAATCGGTTCCGTTTGCAGATTTTGAGGCACAAAACCAGGCTTCCATGGCCGCACACCAAACGACAACAAGAGAGCCAATCACAACACATTCATCTGTTTTTCCCACTACTCAAGCTGGAGTTCATCTGAGGAAAACCCCATTTTCTAAACTCCCTTCCCCATCATCTTCCTCTGTTCCTTTTTCTTCATCATCTCACAGTCCCTCTGTTAACGACATGGATGATGAAGGGAAACATCTGCCCATGAGTGGACCCCCGATTGAAGGTATGATCATCCTATTTTCATTATATGAGCGTATAACAGCCAGTGTTGGGGGTAACGCATTACAAGTAACGCGAGTTACGTAATCAGATTACTTTTTTTCAAGTAACTAGTAAAGTAACGCATTACTTTTTTAATTTACAAGAAAATATCTGAGTAACTTTTTCAATAACAGCAGTTATTGTTTGATTAAACCCAAAGGCTTGCTTGTATTTACTGTTTTCTCTTTTGTGATTTGCAGCTGTTCCAGCTGCATTACTGATCACCGTCACCTTCACAGTCATGCTTGCTGTCTTTCTAGCACTTTATTATTTCAAAACGTAAGTTATGTTCCTCTGTTTATCCAAATGTTTTCAAATATATAGTTAAACTCCAAACCTCAGAGCAAATCTCTGGGATCCCAGAGCTAAGTTTAATTCAAGTCCGTTTTTACTTTTTAATTCACCTGAAATTTTAATGAAGCTGATCATTGAAATTTGTGCACTACAGGAACAGACCCTGCAGGACGCAGTGTGACAGCGAGCAGCAGAAGGAGTACATTGAGACAGAGGTTTGGGAGCACTGTAGTAAAAAAGACCTGCAGAAACCACAGGAGGAGCATGTGGAGGAGAACGAGGAAGAAAACAACAACAGCAGTTCTACAGAAAAGGAGTGACATTTCTGTTCTTGTCAAGACATCTTGGGATGACTGAGACTGAAGTGATTGTGTCACAATGTTGTAGTTTTGTAATGAAGTACAAAATGACACAGATGAGTTTATTTATATGGAAGCTGGCTTTTTATCATGGTTTTTTTATAATTATTTTATTACATTAAATATTTTACTGGTTTTGCTAAATGTTTGGACATTCAATTCAAATGGATTGTTCCGAAAATAATTCAAAGTGTTGCTTGATTATTTACAAAATTGTTTTCCACAAATGAAACATAAAAAGAAAAAAAACTGGGTTAAAGTTAATTCAAGGAATAAATATGCTGTCCTCAGAAAACATACAGTACACTACAGGCACTGCATTAAATAAATGTAACCATTAACCAATGTACCACACATTAAAAATATTCTCAAAAAAAAATCAAACACTAATATTTTTCCCTTTTTACAAACATTATGTGCTGCATTAATTAAAATGGCAACCATGTGAGATGTTTTTTAAGTTTTTTGTTCCATTTAATTATGGTTTTCTACTACTGACAGGACAGCGAAGAATGCACAGGAAATGATGCTCTACCTGACAAACCACAGCTCTGACCATAAACCAACATTTTGAGGCTGTATAAATATCTAAGCTAATCCTTTAGGGTTTTTTTTCTTTGT